AAAAAAAATAAACTTCAGCGAGCTGGGCACCGTGGCTCCCAACTCGAGAAGAAAACAGAAACTGTGGCGCCTAGGCGCCACTCGAACCGTTTTTAATTGTTTTCTGAAGCCCAGGGACCTTGGTTGCAATTTCACTTAGGTTTTAAGTTAAAACCATCACAAATGCTAGAAAAGAGGGGATTCTCTTCTTCCATTAGTTGGAGGGGCAGCCGACTAGGTCTCTCAATTCCTTGTCTTTTTCTTTTTCCTTAATCTTTTTACATATATTTTCTTGGACAAATTGGGGAATATTCGAACATGGAGATGATCCATTAGCTTGGGGAAGAAGATCCATTGATATAGAAAATTTTTAACAATTTCTCTCTTTATCAATAAGTTTTTCTTTTCACATTTTTCATCAATGTTTTGTAAGAAATTATTAGTTATTTGTGAATATTTCATGGGTAACTAAATATATTTGTGATTGGGGGTGCTTTTAAACCTGAGTTATGATTTTCAATTAGTTTGTGCTTCATAGTTCTCTTGATTAATGTGTTTAATCCATTGTATTAAATGTTAATTTTGTTCTTCTTAATTGTTTAGGTGTACAACTAAATGATTGAGTTGTTTCAATTAATGCTATTTTGGGATTTATAGTACGTAATAGCTATTAATTCTAAAACCTTGTAGCAATTACATTTCGATAGATTATGAGGAATTTTCAATTGAATGTATGTGGATTAACACTTAAGTGAGTAAATCGAGTTTGTGAGCCTTAATTCAATTCATCTCTTTTGTCGTAATGTGTTTGTTAAATTAAAGCTAGAGAGCTTGTTCTAGGTTGTTTAATGAATAGGGTCGAGTGAAGATCTTGTTTTATTCGACTAACATGTAAGAAGAAATTGAGATAATTGAGCTTGTAATTATTCTCAAATTTTTGTTAATCTAGAGAAAGAAAATCTTTTGTGGTTATTGCTAGCAAAATCATTCTTATGGTAACGAAATACTCATCAATCACATTTTCTCATATTCAATCAAGAACGACTTTGTTTATTTCAAATTTCAAGTCTTTTCTATTTCGAATTCATCACTTTCCTTAGTTAAACGAACCAACCCCCCCCCCATTTAATATATTTCGCATTTAATTGTTAATATTATGTTTTTGTGCGCAATTGACATAATTGAATCAATCATCTGCAGGAAATGACCCTTACTTGCTATATTGCTACTCAAGACGACACATTTAAGTTAAGTAAGGAAAAGTAATTGAAACGTGATTTGCAACGTATCAGGGGGCTCTATGGGAACCTGCTTCTTTTTAAGTCCCAACTATTTAAACCAGTTTGGGTGATTTTCAGGTGGTTTGGGATATAAGATGGTGGCAGATATAGTGGCATGGAGAAGGTAAATGGTGTTGGATATGGCGGTGGTGGTGAGGTTTTGGTTTTGGCGGTGAGGTGATAGTGGTGCAGGTGGTTGTTGGTGGGTTGTTAAATCTAGTGACGGCAATGTCGGTGGTTGTCCTTTTTGTTGGAGTGGGCGGTATTTATGACCTATTAATAGTCAATAAGCGAATGGAGATGGTTGTTCATGGTGAAGGTGGTTGTTCGTAATTGGAGATCTGATAGTGGTGGTTGTGGTATTTTTGTTGGCAGTGGATTGGATGTAGTGGTGGCGACTTTTGTTGGTTGTGGTGTTGTGGTGGTGGCAAGGTGAGGGTGGTCGCAATTGGTCATAGTCAGCGGCGAAGCCAGGATATATTGATTGGGTGTGCAAAAATTATATGGCAAAAATAATAAATAACATAAAATTGTAACACTACATGACTATAATTGTTCTCGACGCATTTTAATATTTTGAAAACATCGTATAATTACATCATTGTCAATTTCGTTAAATATATCCTTCTCAATATATATAACTGAATTGTCATTCAACGATTGATCTCTAATTTGATTGCGCAATCGAGTCTTGACAAGATCCGTTACAGAAAATACCCTCTCAACAGTAGTAGTAGCAACGGAAAGAATCAATGCCAATGTCACAAGCCTACATAGCAGTGGATACACTTCATTTTTCTTTGTCACAACTACTTTTTACAAGATCACTAAGACCTTGCAATCCTCTAAAGTTTTCATCTGTGCGCATATCAAATATATAAGTTTCAAGTTGATCATCAAGTGCAGAAGGATTAGTGAAATATCTTCAGAATAATACTCAACTAGTCGAATTAATTTGTTCTTGTCGAAAACAGAAAAAGAATCATCTGGACACAAACATGCTATGCAAAGGCACAATTCACTATCTACCTCGAAAAAACGATCATTCAACTCTTGAATTTGCATATCAATGACAACGCAAAAGTAATTCACTCTTAAGTGATGTAAATTCATCATTTTTGGAGTGTTACGCCGTGAACGACCTGGAGGTATATACATAGCATCCATGTTAAGAATATCAACATGCTACTTTTGATAGAAAGAACAAACCATTTCAAGAAAGGAGCCCCATCCATTGTCTCTTGTTGCTTGAAGTTGTTCTTTGCAAAATTTTACTAAGCTTATGGCATTGACAATATCTTGATCTTTCATTTGTAATGCCTTTGACAATTCATTTGAAATTCCTAATATCCTTTTCATGAGATGTAGACCAAATACAACATCAAATCTTACTATCAAGGTCAATAAATTACGTGCTACAACTCTTTTTCCAGAACTTAGGACATCCTCAGCAATTGTTTCAAGTACATCAATTGTAGGTGAAAACATTTGAATAAAGTTAATCAAAGAATTACAGTGAGAACTCCAACGTGTATCGCCTTTTAGGGTAGTTTGTTGATTAAGGCCTCGTCAACTTGATAATTCACCGTGATTGAATGCCTCAACAATTCGAAGTCTTTGCTTCTCTTGAAGAAGATCACATCATTGAGCTGATCCTACAACAACATTCACCACTCTATCAACCAAATCAAAAAAAGCTTCAATCTCTACATGCTTGTTTGTTATAGCAACAAAGGCTAGATGAAGTTGATGAGTGAAGCAATGAATGTAGAAAGCACTTGGGTTTTCTTTTTAATAAGTGCTTTGAGACCATTAAATTCACCTTGCATATTACTAGCTCCATCATAACCTTAACCTCTTAAGCGAGATATACTTAATTTATATCTAGAGAATAAGCAATCAATAGCTACTTTAAGGGAGAGAGCTATGGTATTCAAAACATGCTCTATGCCTACAAAACATTCAACTACACATCCATTCTTGTTCACATAATGAAAAACAATAGACATTTGTTCCTTAACTGAGATGTCACGCGATTCATCAACTAGAATAGAAAATAAACAATCACCAATATCATTGATAATAACACTGATTGTTTCAAAAGTAGCAGCACTTACAATATCTTTTTGGATGTCAGTTGATGTTAATTTGAGATTATCAGGAGCATTCTTGAAAGTAATAGCTTTAATCTCCTCATTATGATCAGCCAAAAATGTAATAATTCAAGAAAATTTCCTTGATTATTTGTATCTTCATATTCATCAGGTCCACAAAATGCAAGTCCTTGTCTTAGAAGAAATTGAACACAATCAATTGATGCACTCAAATGAATTCGCTATTCATGTCATGATTGTTGTGATTATTTCAAGAAAATAGCCTGAATTTTTTTCTTGATTTATAAAAGCTTCGCACTTAATTCGAGCTTTAATGTGTGCACTATTGTGATTTCCAACATGCTATTGGAGTTTTTCTTTACTTTTCCAATTTGAGAACCCTCGCTCAATAAAAAGTGTTACCACCTTCTTGTTCCACACCTGATTTAAAAAGATA